TATAATTCTTTCTTTAATAGAAATGTTTCTTCTGCCCGTAAAGTGTCCTAACCAGGCTTTTCTGGATAAGTGCATTTTTAAAACAGTCATTGTCCATGCCGGTTTCAGTTGGATTATTTGTCACAGTTGCTCCGATCAGATCGGTCTCCTCCATTTTGTAGATTATTTACGACTTTTGAATCCACATAAACACATCGGTAAAATCCGGCTTACTTTGAGCATGTGTTTTAAACAGTTTAATCCCTTTGTGAATTGTTTCCACTTCTTGCGCCGTCCTTTAATTTCTTCATACAGCGGGAATCCAAATGAATGAATCCTGAGTCCAATAACCATCAAAGTCACTCCAATAGTGCTCCTTAATTACACTTCCATCCTCTAACAAAATACTTCCCATTCATCCAGTGACACTGTGTTTTATATACGATAGCTATGTTCCTACGATTAAACGTGATGACACAGCCCCTAGGGAGATAGAAATATGACTGTCATGTTTATTGCTTAAGCAGGCCTTAGCTAATCTGAACTAAGGCCAGAATACTGCTTTGAACCGGTATTATAAATACATGTCTCCTGATATTTAAGATCAAGCCGGTGGCGAGTGATGTTTTTCTAACACATACCTTGGCCCCTTCCAGGACCTTCTGGACGTGGGCGGCCTCAGCTGCTTGTGCCGCCTCCTCAGCGCTCTCCAAAGGCAGGTCTCCGTGCAGCCGGATGTGTTTATCCAGGTTGGAGCGCGAGCGGAAAGCGGCGGGGCAGTGGGGACAGGGGTAGGGCTTCTCCCCGCTGTGGGTGCGGGCGTGCTCTGTGAGCCGCGCCGCCACGCTGAAGCTCTTTCCACAAATCCAGCAGCAGAAAGGTCGCAGGCCGCTGTGGATGCGCTCGTGGTCCTGGAGGTGGGGCAGCTGCCGGAAACGCTTCCCACATGTGGCGCACTGGATGGGGAAGAGAAGAAATATAGAGAATGTAAGAAGGTGGCAGGAAAGTACAGTTATGTTCAGTGCCAATGCACAAAAGTGTACTATAATTCATATTTCTGGAGACTAATATTTTTCTGCAGATGCAGCACTTCTTGCAGGGGCAGAGGAGAGCAGAGAGAGAGATTTGGGGGAAGAAGGGGGGGAGATAGAAAGCAATAAAAAAGACAAAAGAGTCTTACACTGCAACTAAAACTCTTTTCATTGTCGATTAATCTGCCTATTATTTTCAGACAATGAATCAATGAGCGTTTCGGTCGATAAAACATCAGAAATTATTTTTTGAAATGTGCGTTATAATGCCCTAGAGTCAAGGTGATCTGTCCTCAACATCCTCTTTTGTCCTCCAAACATCCCAAAGCCCAAATATATTCAGTTTACTCTCATAGAAAACAAGCATGTATTTAGATTTTGCCTAAAAAAATTCATAAATGAATTGATTATGAGAAAATGTGTTAATATTCAGTTAAACAACTAAATGATTGTGAGGATACACATTACACGAGAATAAGGCAGAGCTTTGGCCCGATTCCCTCATTCTGACATGATGAGCAAAGCCCTCACTTTTTAATGCTTCTAAAGATTATCTTGCCAGATTTTCATCGGATGCAGTGAATGTTAATTGTGTTTTTTACACCCCCCCCCCATCTGCTTGGGAGTCCATCCAGACGCAAAAATGAAACATGTTGTTAATTTACGATCCTGTTGTGTGTTTGTGGGACCCCGAGGACAGCCAGAAGTTATCATGACATGTTGTAACGTGCTGGCTCTCTCACACTTTCAACATCTGGTAAAATGTGAACAATCTTGTTGTATTGGCCGGCCTCAAGGGACAGAATGATCAGCTACACAGTGGACATCACAAAGAAAAGATTGTCTCTCTGCTTGCCAACACCTGAGCGCAGACAATGAACTACAAACAGATACTTGATTAAATCTGAAGCCTTACAAAGGAATGACTGTGTGCTCTGCTTTTTTCCCCACTGGGGACACTCAGATTGAATCAGTAATCCCTGTCGTTTCAATATCTCTGTGAGATATACTCTAATAAAATCACCTTTGCCGTTGAGTCTGATCTTTATATACTCAGTAAATATTGGTGTTCCTTCAGGAACGCACAGTAAATTTGATTTGAATTCAAATTCATCCCCATAACGTTGTGTTTGAGGACCGATGCTCCTTGAACCTCGATCCTCATCATGCCTGATAGAAATGGCTCAAAGCAAAGCCACCAATGTTAAATCAATTTCTACAGTCTCCGTTCTCTGATGGGTTTGGGTGGGTCTATAGTTGATGTCCTGCTTCGTCACCAGAGCAACTGAGGGAGAGGGGAAGAGAGTCCCAGAATAGTAACAGGCAGAGGGGAGCTGACAGGCCCTAACTCAGCCCCGTCATTAATCACAGGTACACGGGAGGGAGGAAACACCCGCAGGACACACACTGCACAAATGGCCATGGTCCAGTGCGGGAGAAACGGCCACAGATATGAATGGGTGTGTCCATGGGGGGTGAGGCAGTGCTGGGTGTCAATTTGAAATACAGGCATTAAATAGTTTGAATGCAGGGTTTAAAAAAAGGACACAATATGATTCACAGGGCTGACAGGAATACACACACAGCCAGTCTTCTTACCTCAAAGGGCCTCTCATCAGTATGTGTCCTCATGTGAACATTGAAGGTGGAATTGTATGCAAAATCCTTGAGACAAATCTGACAGCGGTAGCGGGGTCGGCTTTTGGACTTGCCGAGCGTTCCCTGGAAATGCGCCAGCACGTGCTCCTCCAGGGTGCTGTCGGAGGTGAATCTGCGGCGGCAAGGCCTCACCGGGCATCTGAGAGGCGTCTGGCCCGTGTGGGATAACCGATGGAGGTCGAGGCCTTCCTGAGTCATGCAGCGGTGGCCACATAGGTCACACTCAACCTGAAGGAGGAGAGAGAAAAAAGAAGAGAGAAAAATGTGAAATAAGGAGATGGAGAATGGACAGAGAGCCGGGCAATTAATGAAAAGAGAAAAGGTTGGCGTCTTCATCGTCTGACTGATACGTAACACAATGTCACAGTTTGTCCCCCTCTCGCTAACCCCACTTCCTTCCCGTCTGGATTGGCAAAATGCCATAATGGGCTCTGCTAAATCATAAGTGACAGATATGTTTCTAACAAGGATGAAACAAGTACAATCTCTCACGCTATGAATGTCTTTAGAGTGGAGAAGTCAAAACCTGCATCATACATCCTCTAGACTATAATTCATCATTTTTAACGATAAACATTTGTATGGAGTGAATACAGAACATTTCAAGTGCAATCAGGCTCATTACGCTCAACAAAAGAATGAGGGAAAAAAATGGTATCTCCTGCCAGATCTCTTTTTTAAAAATTCTAAATATTTATGTATGCAGTATTTTATTACACTTTACATTATTTAGATATACATTAGCTTTTTATTTGATCTTACATGTACTGTATACATGTACTGTATACATGTACTGTATATAGTACGTTTGCATTTTACTTACACCACTGTGTCCCCTTCACCATTCCCTTGTACTTTTTTATTTCCTATCTCCTCGCTGCACCACACTCTTAATCTTCCAACTTCTGGTCTGCTCGGCGACGGCTAGACGCTACTCGACGTCTAGCCTACCGGGGTGTACGTACCGTCTGGTCGATCGCTCCCTCACGCGTTCAATCAGAATCCGCACTCTACTTCTCTCGGACTGGTCTCTCGACGCACGGAACGAAGCACCCGTCGGACCCCTGCATCGGAGGACCTACGAACATTTCTCACATAGACGGCCGGTCGCCTACACATGTCGCTACAAAACGGTCCCTTCCTGTCAAACACATAGATCGCCAATTTTCGAAATAATAATATACGTGTTATCGCAAAAAACACAAAAAAAAAAAACACAAAAAAAAAACGATGTCGTTCACGAACCGTTCCGTTCTTAGAATTCAGGGTCCAATGAGGTTCCTACGTTGTATATAGTTATATTCTGTGTTTTTCGTTATTTTTTATCACGGTTTTATTAG